GTAATGTGCCTTCACGTTGGCCCACCTCCCTGGCTCCTTCCCTGGGATTGCACCCCCTACTAAAGAAGGGGCTTATGAGCTTGTGCTAAGCCTCTGCTTTCTGTGGAACTCAGGCTGAGGCTATTCTGGAGCCTTCCCTGCCTAGCGCTCCTCCTCCCTCCAGGGCTACTCCTGTGAGTCTCCTATGTGGGTTCCTCTTCATTCAGTCCCTTCCCTTGGTGTCCCTCTAGGTTCTGTCCTAGGCTTCTCTTGGGGTGTTCTTTTTTATTTTCATCACTTTGTTTAGCAACTGATTTAACTACTCCCAGATGTTTATCTCCAGACCTCTCTCCTGAGCTCCAGTTCTGGATATCCGCGGCAGAGGCATAGTGTGTCCCCCAACATCTATTCTCCATTTCTCCCTGTGAGTAACAGAGCTCTTGGTTTGTGGCCAGGCACATGGCCACTCACAGTGAGGACCATATGTCCCAGCATCCCCCGTAGCAAGATGTGGCCATGGCTGAGCCGGTCCGTGAACATAAGTGGCAGAGCTGTGTGCAACTTCGAAGCTGTGCATGTCAACAGAAGGCTTGTGCCCTCCCCCTCTTCCTTTTTGCTTCCCAGTGGCTCCCCAAAATCCATGGGTGGTGCCCCATTTCAGACTAGAGATGAGAGCAACACCCTAGGAATGGCAGAGTAAGATAGTGGGAGACGGGAGACTGGCTGCTCACACCCAGACTGCTCATGTGAGCGAAACAAACGTCTGCTGGCGATGTGAGTTTCTGTGCCAGCGACTGAACCTAAATCCTAACCGACATATCAACTTCCAACTCCACATCTCCATTTATTGATCTCAGGCACCCTCGATTCCGTTTGTCCCCTAACCCATCTTCCCCCATTGCCTCCTCCAAATTCCCTCCTCCTCCTCTATATCTTTCTGATTAGCACCGTCATGTCCCCAAGTTGCCCAAGTCATAACTCTGTATGACCTTCCACCTGTCCCTCCCCCTCAGCACCACACCCGACATTGGGTCAGTTGCCAAGTCCCATGATGCCACCTCCTAACGCCTCCCGAACACTCCACTTTCTCCATCCCTACTCCCACCCTCGCCCATGCCTCAGTAGTTTCTCCCCAGGACCAGCACAGCCTCTGCACTTACGTTCCTGCCTGGCTTCCCTCCAACGTGCCTTCCACAGTAAGGCCAGAAAGAGTCTTCCTAAATGCACATGTGATTATGTTACATCCCCACTCAGAACCCTTTAGCAGCTGCCCCTGAGGTGGAGGATGTGCCCGTTAGCAAGGCTTCTGTGTGGGGTGAGTACCCTTCCCAGCATGCTCGGCAGACATCCTGTGTAGGTCCGTTGCTCTGCATTAATTATTAATAACATCCTCTCTTAGTCTCAAAAGTATCCTGATTTGGGTGATAAACTGCATCGTTCTCTACTTATAAGGCTGCTCAAGCACTGCCTCTGGGCTTGCCTTTCTCATGGCTAATCTCTGGTTCCCATGATTATGGCTCTTTTTGGGTGGGGGCAGTTTCTTGGAGCCTTTGGCAAACCACTGTGCCTGTCGTTTTTGTTTTTGTTTTCAAAATATTAAGGGGCTACAGATGTTTTTGATACATGGCTTGAGTCAGGGCTTTAAATGTGCCCATCACCCGAATAGTGTTCACTGTACCCGATAGGTGGGTTTTTGCCCCTCCCCCTGCTGGATTTCCAATGACTTTTACTTCCCTCTGTGCACTTGTGTGCCTATTGGTTAGTTCCAATTTATTAGAGAGTGCATGTGGTATTTGTTTTTCCATTCTTGAGATACTTCACTTAGGATAATGGTCTTCAATTATTTCCAAATTGCTGCAAAGAGCATTAATTAATCCTTTTTATGGCTGAGTAGTACTCCATGGTATACATATACCACATTTTGTTAATCCACTTATGAATTGATGGGCACTTGGGTTGATTCCACATCTTTGCAATTGTGAATTGTGCTGCAATAAACATTCGAGTGCAGTGTCTTTTTGATAAAATGACTTCTTTTCCTTTGGGTACCATCAT